AAGTATTCAGAATTCTTAAAGTTTAGAACTTTTAATCTAGAACAGAGTTCCTTTTCTAAGAAAACAGTGTTAATCTTTTTTTTTAAATCTGACTCTTGGCTCAGCGCCTATAGCTTGGCTAGGGCACCAGCCACATACACCAGAGCTGGTGGGTTCAAAGCCCGACCAAGCCCGCCAAACAACAATGACAACTACAACCAAAAAATAGCTGGGTGTTATGGCAGGCACCTATACTCCCAGCTACTTGGGAGGCTGAGGCAAGAGAATCGCTTAAGCCTAGGAGTTGGAGGTTGCTTTGAGCTATGATGCCAGGGCACTCTACCAAGGGTAACATAGACTGTCTCAAAAAAAAAAAAAAAAATTTGGCCCTATCCAAATCTCATCTCTTACTACCCGTTAACATGTACCCTATACTCTGATCACACTAAACCAAGTAAAAGTTCCTCAAAATGGCAAATGGTACCTACATGCCTTTGCACGTGTTAGTCCTGCTCCCCAGAATGCTCTTCTCCCTTTTTGGCCTGACAAAGACATTAACATAATCTTCACTTCAGATGTGGCTCAGGTGTCACCTCTCAAACCTCGAGTCCCACACCAAGCTAACTTTGCTTACTAATCCTACCTGCCAATCACCCTAACCAGACTACAAATGCCTTTAATGCTGCACTAAATCTGCTCCACAAAGGCCTAAAGCCTGAGGGGAACAGTCTCTAAGTAAACACCCTGGACCATGTCAGAGGTTTTTTTCACCCTGCCTACTCACACCTGCTAAGCAGACAGGTACAAAGCCAGAATCTCCAGAGCAGAAAGAAGTTCAGAAAGGAATATGACACCCTGAGAATACCAAAGGGCTGTCTTTGGCCCTGGCAAATTCTTGACTATCTGCAAATGGCTATTATCAACAGCTTAAGTCCCAGTGGCGAACCCTAAGACAGAGCTTTTCAAACTGAAATGTGCGCATGAATCATTTAGATTTAGATGCATCTAAAGCTTGGTCTCATAGGCCTGAGACACTACATGCCAGAGGAGGCCAATACTGCTGGTCTGCAAACCCTCTGGGAGACCTGGGAAATTAGTTCTCTGTCAGGGAACGTGTGCCATTAACTCCTTCCTTAGTCCTCTCCTTTTAGCTTACACATTTTATGTCATTAAAAAAATAAAAGCAGCCACACAAAAACTCAAAATTCTGCATATTTGGCATATGAAACACACACTGTCCCACTGTGACAACTATGCCATCTCATTCATTTCAATATCCTCAGCCTAGGAAAGATAGGTCCTCAACAAATGCTTGTTAAATGATGCTCTATATAATAATCTCAAAATAGTCTCAAACTTAGAAAAGTTCATCTTACGCTTGTTCAACTTTACAATGGTACGAAACTATTCTGTTTTCACTTTCAGTATAGCATTCCATAAATTACATGAACCAATCAGCACTTTATTATAAAATAGGCTTTGTGCGAGATGATTCTGCCCAACTATATACTAACATAGGTTACACATATTTCTTTTCCACTCACTTTTTCAGATAGTTCTGCTGATCATGGTCTTTCCCATTTGACTAGCACTTTCTTAAAGACAGAGCCTCTACCCCTTTTCTGTGGCACACAGTCTAGCACACAATGGGCACTCAGTAAATGTCTGCTGACTTACACTGGATAACTAAACATATAAATGCACTACATTCAGGTTCCAGGAGAGGACACTGAGTAACAACATTACCTGAATTTGCAATCCTTCTTTTCTAAAGATTTAAAATACTCACATGTATGACTATGTTTTAAAAAAACTTCAATAATATACACAAAAAAGATCATCTACTTCGCAGATAAGAAAATGGCATGAGAGGGTTATATATTATACTTCTTCAAAGACAACCTCATCAACACAGAAAAAACATACAGTGAACAGTACCTCAGTCTTCCCACATTCATCAGGTGGATCCTGGTGTATGGCCATTTGATACTTGACATATAAAGAAAAGGACTGGCTGAAGGACGACTTGAACTCTGGGTCCTCAAAGGAGACAGGTACTAACCTCACCTTCAGAGCAAGGAAAATACAAGCAAATGCTATTGAAACATCTCTAACTGATGATATGCTTCTGAAGGTGAGGCTAGAGTAAGATCTCCGCAAATCCACTTCCAAAGCTCAACACTGGAATTTATAATGAAAACAAGAAACCCTAGCACAGAGCCAGAAGTGCTAACTTTGTACTAAAACTTATAAAAATCTTAAACTCATAAAAGCCAGGACAATTTGCTTTTGTTTTGTTTTGTTTATTGAGCTACCTATTGTAGTTTTCTGCATACTCTCATGGCCACTACTTTTCCACCTCTACCTATATAAGATGTTTTAAGATTTTTTTCCCTTCCAGATTTTTCTTGGGTCATTTGATTTATAAACTATGAGTATAGGAAGACATCCATTAAAACACGCTACTATCTTACTTTATAAAACATTCTACTACTATCTTACTTTTCTAGTCCCACTCAAGTGTGCATAGTAGTATATCAACAAAGAATAATTTAGCTATTATCACTCTTTCTACATACGACTTTTAAATATTAATAAAGCATATTAACTGTGCTGGCCAAAATACCACGTATACCTACCATAAAAAGTTTTTTGTTTTATATTTAAATTTAGCACTCTACTTATTAAATGCATCTAATTTAAATGTATGAAATGCATCTAAACATATGGACTAATTAAAAAGATAATTTTGTGTGCTACTTTCCACTCTGAAATTATACACCACTGAGCACTTAACATGGCACTAGGTAAAATGTGCACTTTCAGAATGTTCATTAATTCACAGTCCTATCTCTCAGCAAATATGTTACAAATTGAATATAAATAAAATGTACCACAAATAAACCAAGATTTCATACCATGATATCAAATGGAAGGGAAAGTTGTGTTTGCACAGAAAAATTACACTTGGCCTGCTGACCTGGCTCACAGTTGGTTTATCAGGTGGGTCCTTGTGAATAACCAGCTGGTAACGTTTATAGACCTGGTAAGACTCTTGAAATGTGGCTTTGAACTGAGAACTTGGTGGAGATGATCTCACCAGCCTCACCTTCAGAAGGAGTTAAAAAAACAATGTTCATTAATTCATTCATTTATTCATTCCATGGAATATGTCTTACTAGTGACTCCCACCAAAAAAACAGAAGTTTCAACACAAACACTGTAAAGCACAAACATACAGTAATATTTTAACATTAAAAATCAGTTAGTAAATAAACTAAAAATTACAGTCTCATCAAGAAAGCAGAAGAAGATCCCTTTTGCCGTCAAAGCCTCATCTTTCATGACTGAATTATGTAAGCCTGCCTCTATCATAAACTGGCATTCATGACACAAACACAAATACTCTTTAAAAGTTTTATACAACTTACCATCCATAAGTCAGTCAGAAAGACTAAAAATATGAAAATACAGTTTGTACTCTTTCATTCATCACTGCTAATTCTAAACTTACAACTTTACAGGTATAAAAGACAACCCTCCCAAGTGTTCCTACTCCACAGCACACTTAAGAACAATGTCTCTCAAGTCAGATCTCCCTTGCTCAACTCTTCTAAAGTCCTGGTCAAGAAAAGTAACCTCTCTGTGCCTTCATTTGCTCCTACCTAAAATGAGGATGAGTTTAAAAGAGTAATTGCATGCAGTAATCGCTAACATTAATCTGAACATTAATTATTTACTAACCAGTTAAAATGTGTTAGCGACACAGAACAGTAAACAGAAAATCCAATGCAACACAGGAAGGCCTAAATCAGGGGTCCTCAAACTTTTTAAACAGAGGGCCGGACTGCAGGCCCTGGGACGAGTTGGCCGGCTGCTAAGCAGGACAGGCAGCAGTGGTAAAAACACCCAGCGGGCCCGGATAAATATCCTAGGTAGGCCGCATGTGGTCCGCAGGCTGTAGTTTGAGGACGCCTGGCCTAAGTGAAAACTCCACATGTGCCATGAGAAGTCAGTCTTCCATTAAGAAGGAGTGACACCCAGTGGATAACAAGTCTCTCTATACGTCCTGGATTATCATTACATTAAAAAAGTAAAATTTGGCTCGGGGCCTGTGGCTCAAGCAGCTAAGGCGCCAGCCACATACACCTAACGTGGCGGGTTCAAATCCCCAGCCCAGGCCGCCAAACAACAATGATGGCTGCAACCAAAAAATGGCCAGGCGTTGTGGTGGGCGCCTGTGGTCCCAGCTGCTTGGGAGGACTCGCTTGAGCCCAGGAGTTGGAGGTTGCTGTGAGCATGATACCATGGCACTCTACCCAGGGGGATAGCTTGAGGCGCCGTCTCAAAAAAAAAAAAAAAAAAAAAGTAAAATTTACTACCACAGAACTATTATGTGAGGTATGCCTGGCTCCCTGAATACATTATTTATGATCAAAAGACTTAATAAGTATTTTAAGTAGTGTATACAAATCTCTTCATAGTTTTTGAAGGAAAAAAGTCAGTATCAAAATCAGGGTAGTCAATGAGTTATAAAAGTTAAACTTTATGTCTGATAATAATTTTAGTATCAGTTCTTTAGTGACGAATGATATCTTAGGTGACAATAAGTTAAAAAATAAAAGGCTGACCAGTTACTAATCAGGTATGAGAATATGATAAAAATCACTGTGGCAAATGTTTTAGGAAATTATTTTACATTGAGAAACTAATACTGAGAAATCTAGATTTGATCTAGACATGTAAATGAATGTGGAAAAAGGAAAGCATTTGCCTCTACATTTATTCATATTATGCCTAAATTGGTTTGAGCATTAATGAGAGGGGGTTGTAACAGTAATGGTACTAAACTGTACTAAGTACTGGCTTACGTATGTGACACTGTTTGCTGCCTCAATCAAGATCAGAATATTATAATGGACAAAACAGAATGATCTATTCTCTTTTGCTATCCAAACCCAAGCTGCCAAAAAAAAAAATTTTATTTTTCTTTTTCACTTTAACTATTAAATTTCAATCAAGAGATACAAAAATCCCAAGCACTCTGCATAAAATAACATGCTAAAATACAAATTGTTTTCACAACTATAGTGTGGCTGGCTCCCCGAATACACTTCAAGCAACTGCCTATTTTCAAAAACTCTTAAAAAGTAAAAAAAAAAAAAAAAAAAAGATTTGTCTCCAACAGCAGTTAACTTAGCAAAACAAATGCTACTCTACTCCATTCCAATTCTCTTTAATTTCCTATTATTTAAAGAGCAAAATACCAACTGATTAGTATAATCTACTATAAAAATAAACAAGGTACCCATAAAAAACAAAAACTAAAACAAACCAAAAACCCTCCAAAGTACCTCTAACTTATGTGATGCATCTTCTGGTAAAGATCCAAAAATTAAATCTTCAAGTGATTTGGGCTGGTTGGATTTAGGCTTTGATGGAAACAAAGATGGCGTCTGACTTTGAGTCTGGAGTTCTCCAGCTGGGTTTTGCTGCATGAGTTTTAACCTTTTCCTTTCCTTCCGGATTTCCTTTGCTTTTCGACATGGAGGTTTACTCAAATCTGCCCCTTTCCCTAAAATGAATTTCGAAATATTAGAACCACCATATTTTACTCTAGCAATGTTTTTTCAAAAGTCTCAAAAGTTCTACAGATTAAGTCCAAAGAACACCAATAGTTAAGCAAGCTTTGGGATAGATGTTTCAGAAGATCCTGGTATAAAACTCTAAGTTCATCTTAAAATTCTACCTTACAAACAGGAGCTATCAAAGAAAGCAAAATCACAGAAAGTTGTCAAGGCAGCTCTTACTATTGAAAATTGTTTTGGGGCTTTGCTTTTTTTTTTTGAGACAGAGTCTCACTATGTCCCCCTTGGTAGAGTGCCATGGCATCACAGCTCACAGCAACCTCAAACTACTGAGCCTAAGCGATTCTCTTGCCTCGGCCGCCCAAGTATCTGGGACTACAGGTGCCTGCCACAACGCCCGGCTATTTTTTGTTGCAGCTGTCATTATTGTTATTTAGCTGGCCTGGGCCAGGTTCGAACCCACCAGCCTCCGTGTATGTGGCCGGTGCTGAGCCAGAAAAAAAAATTTTTTAAACATTCATTCATTTCTCTGTCTTTAAAAGGAGCATAATCAAATGTCCTCTGTTTCAAGATACTGCTATCTCTGGCCAACATTTCTGAGGGACATTTCTCTGAAAGCACTGGTGAGACAGATAAAACTTAGGGACTAGATGTAAATGAATACTGATCCCAGAGCAAACTCTAGCAGGTATTTTAAAACAAACAGGCTTGGCGCCTATGGCTCAAGTGGCTGAGGCACCAGCCACATACACCTGAGCTGATGGGTTCGAATCCAGCCCGGGCCTGCCAAACAACGACAGCTGCAACCAAAAAATAGCCGGGCGCCTGTAGTCCCAGCTACTTGGGAGGTGGAGGCAGGAGACTCGCTTGAGCCCAGGAGTTGAAAGTTGCTGTGAGATGTGATGCCACAGCTTGAGGCTCTGTCTCAAAAAAGTAAAAAATAAAATGAAACAAACAAAAAGAAATTTGTTATTGAAAGTGTCTATGTTTCTCTCCAAATATTTGAGGTCTCATTAGTTCCTTTGAGTTTCATTAGTTCATTTTCAGTTAATCAGAATTTTATTCTAGTTAAAAGATCAAATATCAAATTGACAGCCCTTTAAAGTATAAAATCTCTAACTATCATAAAGTTACTTTTTTTTTTTTTTTTTTTTTTGAGACAGTGCCTCAAGCTGTCCCCCTGGGCAGAGTGCCATGGCATTACAGCTCACAGCAACCTCCAACTCCTGGGCTCAAGCGAGTCTCCTGCCTCTGCCTCCCAAGCAGCTGGGACCACAGGCGCCCGCCACAACGCCCGGCCACTTCTTGGTTGCAGCCGTCATTGTTGTTTGGCGGGTCCGGGCTGGGGATTCGAACCCGCCACCTTAGGTGTACGTGGCTGGCGCCTTAGCCGGTTGAGCTATAGGCGCCGAGCCAAAGTTACATTTTTGTAAGTAGTCTGTAAGTATTCTTCAAAGAACTGATCCTAAAAAAATCATAAGAGATAAAGACAAATAATGATGAATACAAACAAAACCTCAAAATAATCTAAATGCCCAATTATAGAATATTTATACCATTTTTATAATAGCTAAGCAATAAAATGTCATACAACCTCTTTAATGCTTTAAAATTTAAGATTTTTCACTATAAAATGTTTTTTAAAAATTCTAGTTATATAAATATTATACATTAAAAGTGTTTAGAAAACTGTGTTAATGGCAGTCATTCTACCTTAATTTCACACAGAGAAAGGATTTTCCGCTTTTCTTGTGGCAGTGTTCTCTCCTCTCCAATTTTTCTAACATTAACATTAGTCACTTAAAAAAAACATTAGTCACTATTAACTAAATAAAAAAATAAGTTATATATTCTAAGATCTCAAAACACAGTATTCAAAAACCAGATAAAAGTCAGCAAAAGGAAGGTTTATGATTAGCAAATTCAGCTTTTTGAGGGAAGAAAATTAAGACCTAGGTGGTTAAAGGACTTGCTAGAGGCAAAGAGCTAATCAAAAGAAACAAAGCTGAGGAGAAAATAGAGAGTTCACAAATAGTTACGATCTCATCACAACTTCACTAACAAGTTTTCTAACTAAAGATAAAGTTTACCTATTTTTTTTGTTGTTGTTGTTAAGCTGGCCCAGGCCAGCACTCAGCCTAAAGTTTACCTATTAAGAAAAGATTTTAAGTCTAATAACCAGGTAACAAAAGACTGATTCATTACTCTACTGCCTTATAGAATTAAGTTTCTTTGGCCAGGGACTACGTCTTTTCTCAAATTTGTGCTGAGAGGTACAACAGTTAAGAGCAGGCACTCTGAGACAGGCTGCCTGAGATCACAGGCGCTCTATCACTTGGCTAGATGACACTTGGCCAGTTTCCATGCCTGTACAAGAAAGACAAAAAACTGTCCTACGTACAGAGTTCTCATGAGGATAAAAATGAATTAATGCCCATGTAGCTTCTAAAAAAGTATCTACATTCAATTAGGGTTACCTATTATTATTAGCTATTATTTGTGTTGCAATCACCCAGATATTTTACCTATATTAGCATTCCATAAATAAGAAAAAAAAAACCTACCTTTTTATAGTTACTGAAAATTGCATGCCCTGCTAAAGTTTTTAAAGAATAAATTTTAAAAATATGTACAATGAAATGAAAAACACAAATTTTCAGTATTTTTATAAAGGACTATGTCATCTTTACACTAACTAGTTCACTGAGCTAAGCAATCCTTATCAAAACATTTTTCTCTATACACTACCACATTACCAACTACCGTGGACAACAAATCAGAATTTCAGCATATTTAGAGAATACAGATCTCTCAAGATCAAAAAAATACCTTCAACAGAATGGAAGCAATCAGTAGAATATCTATACACCACATCAAGCACACATCCACAGAGGTTCAAAGCAACTCAAGAATTTTAGATTAGTATCAAGAGATCTGAATGGAGTTTTGTAGTCCTGCATATAACTTCAAATTAAAAAGGAATATTCCGTGTAATATTGTTAAAATAGAACAGAAATAAAGGATCCAGAGAAAATCCAAAGATTTTTAAATAGTCTGGGATTCTTAGTGAGAAATATCCTTAAAAAAAAAAAAAACACCATAAAATCTTTTTAAGTTTCAGTAATTACACTACCACAGGTTATTCTAAAACTGTTGTGTAATAATAAAGCAATGTGATATTATAATGGTCCCCAATGTCCTTGAGAATCAAGTTTCTCAGTGTAAAAAACAAACAAACAAACAAACAAACAAAAACGCAAAACCAAAAGAAAAAAATGTTGCAGTCCTGAATTTGCACTGGAAGTATCAACATGAACTCATGACTCCATAAATCTGTTCACTGAAAAGGACTAGATAACAATGATCAAGACAGTGACAATAACGTGCACCCCAGGACTAGTTTGTGATCTCCAAATACCACTTCCCACTAAAAGGAACCAGAGTTGCTTAAAGAAATGTCTGCACAAGGTGATCCATGAGGATGATGTCATTCGAGATAGCAAGGAAGTTGTCAAAGACCACCAGGATTATGTTAAAAGGACTCAGAAACAAACTTAAACTCTCACAGGACTAACAGATTGCAACACAATATATGTTTAAAACTTTGATTTTGCTATATAGCAAAAAGAATCTAATTGGCCGCCGTTAGAAGATTTTGAAAAATGGTAAACAAAAAGAAAGAATCGAGAATTTATCCTGCCTTTTCTATGAGGTTTTATAGAAAACAAATAGATAAGGAGAAGCTTTTCTTTTTCTTTAGAGCCAGAGTCTCATTTTATCACCCTCGGTAGAGTACCATGATGTCACAGCTCACAACAACCTCCAACTCCTGGGCTTAGGCAATTCTCTTGCCTCAGCCTCCCAAAATAGCTGGGACTACGGGCGCCCAACATAACACGCGGCTATCTTTTTGTTGCAGTTTGGCTGGGGCGATGTTCGAACCCACCACCCTCAGTATGCGGGGCCGATGCCCTACCCACTGAGCCACAGGCACTACCAAAAAAACTTGTCTTTAAGGAAGAATTCCAGCCAGTAAATAAAGAATGAATGACAGGGCTCGGTGCCTGTGGCTCAACCGGCTAAGGCGCCAGCCACGTACACCTAAGGTGGCGGGTTCAAATCCCCAGCCCGGACCCGCCAAAACAACAATGACGGCTGCAACCAAAGAATGGCCGGGCGTTGTGGCGAGCGCCTGTAGTCCCAG